CCTTATTACACAAAGGAGATCAATTTCTTCGACAAATAGCATGAAAAGAGTCAGCTATTTTCTTTATTCCTGTGACATTTCACAATAAATGAGAGGTATTAAGATAAAAGAATTATTTATAATTTTTTCAATATTTTATTTGTTTTTTCTTACTATGTAACTTGTACTTATAATTCATAAGTATATTAGTTGGTTTGCTTATCTAATTATATTATATAATATACAAGCATACACTCTTATCATAAAAAGTGCAAGTGATGGCTCTTTGACCGTTATTAGAATTTACGAATTCGATTTGTTCACCCATACGAGTACACACTTTGATTTACATAAGACTATATAAGAGCGGTAACTAGCTGTATGCGACGTAAATAATCACGTGAGCGAATGTAAACACAAATGCGGTCACTTTTTGACGTGGCTGAGCGGATTTGCACGTAACGGTTATGTGAATACCTGAGAAATCTAGGTAAGAGGCAAGTTCTGTAATATTTGCTATATAATATGAACGTTACGAGCAAAACAGCAAATAGAACTATAAATTTAGAAAAAGTCTAAAAATCATTGAATGTCAATGCGCTGGAAGCCAAAAATGTGCAGCGTAAATAAATTGCGTTGTAAATGCCTCTTCGGGTCAAACGAATGGTAATACTATCTTAAGAGAAGGACTAAGAAGTAATAGAATTTTCCACATATAGAAGTTACACGAGGGTTTCGGGATTAGACAACAAAAACCAATATTAATTATCAAAAATCGATTTTTTGTTTTTCAAAATATTCTCCAATAAGATCAATACACTTTTGCTTGAGTTGAACCAATTGTCGAAGCACTTTTGCCTCTCTGATTGAGATATTTGTACGAGCTTCACGAAATTTATTTTGGAGTGCTCACAACTTCGATTAAATTCACCATACCCTTGATAAACACTGGTCCTTGTTGAACTTCATCGCCAAAAATTTAATTAAGTTTATCAATGCAATGCAGTTGCTGAGTTAATCCGCGTCGAAAGTTGTAAAAAATAATCGCGCGAAAATTTTCGAGCTTTAATTCCATTTTTTTGCCTGAGATGAATATTTTAAGTTACTGTAAAGAACAAAAATAGCGCTCGTACGTCAAAACGTTCTGAGTATGTACATATATCATCAAAAATGTGAAACTTTACGATAAAGTTATGAGTTACCAAATTGCGACACTAGGGTTGCCAAATCACGTAATATAAAAGGCACATAATGAATAATTATTTATCATCAAGCTCTTGCCTCTATTTGCATACCTTTCATGAATAAAACTGCTTTTCGCTGCTTTTAAATACCAGAGCTGCGAAAATTGGTTCTCTCGGTCGTGGTCCCTTGTCCGAAACATTTTTAAAACAAAACTTAACTTTGTAATAAAACTCAATTCTTGGCCATAGCATTAAATTTGATGGGCCCTCAAAACCACATGTTTAAAAAAACACCCGTTATAAAGTTTTGCCAACACCTAAAGGTATTTCCCCGACTTTGATCTTTGCAATTTGCGAGAGTATAAAATGTTCGGTTACATCCGAACTTAGCTCTTACTTACAATTCTACTCATTCAACACAATCCCAACGCCAAAAAAACCGGTGACGACTAAGGCGGCGAAACATAAAAAACAAAAAACTGAACAGAAAAACCATAAAGTAAAACACGAAACACCAAATAAATCAGCGCTATGAATATTAATAGCTTTATGGGAGAAGATAACGGCAAATCGAATCGGTAATTCAAAGCAGAGCACCTATTAGCCCCAGCCATTGAGCGGCTGCTTGCAATTAGCTTTATCAGCGGGTCGCTAGCGGAAAGTGTGTGTGTGTGTATGTGTGTGAGCATAGTAATTACTGTTTGTTGCTGAATTCCGCGCGGTCGACTGATAAGACGAACCGTCTGTGTCAATACGCGCGCGAATGTGGCATTCATTCATAAAATCGGAAATGTGCAAATGCACGCGACTGTGATTTCAGTTTATGATTGTTGTTGTCGGTTTTGCTGTGAGTAAGCGCACAAGTTATTTAAATACAATTTGGCGGGTAAAATACAAACGAACAAAACAAAGCAATAAACGACAGTTTTAAGTTCGCTTGCACTCGACCACGATTCTTTATCGGTTGAGACATGAGCACCAGTGTGTGTATATGTGTGCTGTTGTATTGCGCCAATTAAGTTTTATGAACAACTGTTTTTGTCGTCACCGCAGTCATCGTTACTTAGCAGCGCTGTTGGCAAGACGACATTGACATTTTAACCCGTTAATGTGTTTCGATTAAGCCGCACGGACAGAGAGGTGCCGAACAGGAACATTTAATTGATGTCGCGCCTGCCTGCTGGTGCTCTCTGGCCCAGCCAGAAGATGTGAGCGCGAATAAACAATAACACAGAGCTACAATTAAGACACCAACGAAAGCAAGCGAATGCAAACACACTCACACAAACTCATAAAGATTTCCTCACTGCCATTTATGAGAATCAAATTAATGTCAATTATTTGCTTTTCCCTCCTCTATCTGCTTCCATGCGCCGGCCGCGACTGTCTTTATGTGGGCAGCGGCTACAGCCGATGCCAAACTCGTCAACGAACGGCTTAGTTAAGCACATGGCGTGGTAATGTTCTTCCGCATTTATTGTTCTTGTCGCAGCTGGCGCGAGATCACTTGATAGCTTCGAGTGGAATAGCGTTGTTGCCACTTCACTCGTTGGCACTAAGTGCCTGTAATTATTTGTGTGATGCCGATTGAGTGTCAATGTCAAGGACAAATTGCTGTCAATATTTTCATTGATGCTGACCACTTCAAAGAGGATAAACAAAATGCTCGCACAGAGCTCGAAGGCAAATACTCTTTGTCAGGCTACGTGACATTTCAGTCCAAGACAGATACAGATATGTTGGAGAGAAAGCAAAAGAAACAGAAGTATCTAAATAAAGAATTCACATGTTTTTTCATTAGTTACTCGCCAGATGCGAACATCTTTAAGGCCACAATGTAAACCAAACATTTGCCGCGGCCTTGCAGCTGGAGTCCAGTTAATCTTTAGTTAAAGGCAGGTCCACCAAAAGAGTCAACTTTTCAAAGAGGTTTAAATTCGTTTGTTCTCATACCAACTTAATTGCCTACCGATCGACGTATGTACAATATATACATGTAGATCATGACAAGGGCATTTTTGCCATTTGTCCCAATTCTTAACCCAAAAGTACTATGTTAGAGGTTTCATCAATATAAAAAGAGGAGAAGGAAAAAAGGGAAATCGAAAATAGCTGTGGGATTGACGCTCAGACTTTTTGTGAATTTTTCATTGACAGAATGAGTCAATGCGTATGAAAGAGTAGATGGTACTGTACCACTGGCCGGTATGTAATCGTTCTTGGAAAAGAAATTAGTTCTTTCATCCGTAACCATAAATCCCGGGCGCAAGGTACGATTTACCTTGTTAGTTTTAAGCAAGAGATGAACATTGAAGGTTAAAACGCAGAGACTACGTTCAAATAACTCTAACGAGGTTTTTAAGCAAACCAGATATTAGCAGCAGCCTCTCACGTTTGAAAGATCGATATTTTACAAAATATCTGCTTTATTTGTGTTGACTTAATTTGAGAGGGGATATACATATTTATGCTTATTATATTATATCACACAAACATGTCACTTTATTTACTTTTAATAAAATTAACTTTAAGTGGCGTTAATTGTTTGAGTAAACCGTAAATGGCACCGCTGATAGTTTCTGTGTTAATCAAAATAGCATAGTATATGTTGTATACTACCCCAAGTCAACTTAAGTGAATGATATTTTGGTTTTTTTTTTGAAACTGTACCTGCCGTTTTACTTTGCACAATAGCATAATAGATAGAGGCATCAAAATACACTCAAGTAGAGATACAGATATGTCAGATTGGCATGGTATTTCTACCTAGTTAATTGATCTTGTGTTGATAATTTTCAAGCCTTTGTGCGTAAAATGTAAACAAAACAAATTGGTTAGGTATGACTTATTTCATAAATCATATGGAAATAAGCTTCCGCAGTTAGTGACAAGAGAAGGTAGCAGGCAGTACGACAAGGCCAAAAAATTCTGCCGCTACAGCAACAGCAACGAGGTCAGCAGGTGCTAAGCGAATAGGCGAAAAAGCAAAACACGCGTTTAGCGGCACTTTATTTCAGCTTGTTAAACGAACTCATACAAGCGAGCGTTTTATGGCAAGAAGTTCTACACAATCGCAGAGTTGATTTTCGTGCAGCGGTAAGCGGTAAGCATATTCACACCCACTTTTGCGCTATTGATCGACCAAGCAAGCAGCTACCAGCGTTTGACCTTGAAAGCCAGCAGCAATTTTTAATGCAAACACCGGCCGCAGCATTAGCCCACCGCTCAGCACTCTCGCTTAAATATCGACGGTATGCGGCGTTCGAATTGTGGCGGTTTCATTCGGTGGGAATGTGGTAAGCGGTCGCAATTTTGATAAGCAAATCACGAACTCGTATCTATTATGTACATAAGCAAGTGTCATGTGAATGTAAACATACTTACATATGTATCTACTCGTATAAGTTTTCTTGTTGTGTTTGTGATTTTCGTAAGCCTTTGAGCGCATACAATGCACTTCGCTTTGGGTTACAGCACTTTGCTGAACGACTACCTGGGAGGTAAATCACCGACGCGAAGTGCATTGCTATGCCAGTCGGTACGATGAGCAGCACGTGTGGTTGACATCTTTGACATCAAATGTGTGTTACTATAAAGCAGATGTATGTATTTGTGTATGTACATAAATATAATGCATATGAAGATGTGAGGGTATTTTCATTTAACTCGCACATTAAGTGCGTGAGTTCACCACTCACGAATTGAAATATTGCTCTAAATCTCAGTTAAAATTTGGATTCAAAAACAAAGAAATTTAAACGTGCCACCCGCTTTTCAGAGATCACTGCATAATAAATTAGGAAAATAATACCTATGTAAACATAATGTGGGTCTTACCCATTGCCGGTGATGTCCAATCCGTTAGTGCCATTAAATCCATTCTCCGTTTCAGATGATGTTGCCTCTGGAGATGTTGGTATTGGACGATAATTGAGGGGGATTATGTCCGGATCCACCTCATCGAGGAAAACAACATCGTGCACCGGAGTTATGCGATGTTCAGCGTTGGTCAAATTCAGTGGTCCATTTAACAGGCAACGCAAAGTGGGAGCAGTGGAGTCACTGGGCAGCTACAAGAAAACAAAAATTAGCCAAAACCCATAACTAACAACTCCAAAAATATGTATGATATATAAATTAATTTGCTCGGTACGTTGTTGTGATATTTCTTGATAATGTCGTAGATGTTATATACCTTTATTTTCGTATTGGACGTTGAAAACATTGAATCTTGAATTTTCATAGCATGAGGCCGATCTCAAACATTCTCTGATATAACACAAAAACAAAACAAATGTAGGTAAACAAAATCAAGAGCAGTAGTACATTGAATATCGCAGTCTAATCGGAACGGCGTGTAATGTGAACGACGCCAGTGCTACCGCAAGCCAACGTCATCAAAATATAAACAAAATTCACTGAAATATATGTATGTATGAATCTACATTTGTATGCGCAGGTGCTAGATGAAGCGATCGCCTCGCTCGCTTTTCCAATTTACGGAAAGAGCCAGTTTTTACCAACTGGAAGGACACATGTAAACAAATATTTTAGCTCGTTATCAATTGATAAACAATTAATACATAAATATAGGCTTCTAAGGCAGCATCACAATGCCCCGAGCGCATAAATAGCATTCGCACACGCGTACTTCATAAACCGAACACTTTCTTGCTCAGGCAACACACGCACGCTCACAAACTAATAGATAATTTTTTTACGTGTATCACAACTCTTCCTTCAATTCTTATTAGATTATTCAGCGATATTATCACAGAGCACACTGAAAGCAACTAATAATCAACTGATCGCTTTCATTGTTTCTCAATACACGTTTCGTAGATTAAGCTCTACAATTAATCTTATTGCCTTCAATCGCTCTACTACCGTCTCACTGTATTGCAAAATGTGCTATTGTCGAAACTTTGATGTAAATTTTGCAATTTAGAGTGATGAAACCGACATTTCGCGGCCTATTATTTCTTGATGCTTTTCTCACAGTTCCCGCACAATAATAGTCACTTTAGCGTTTTCAGACGCTTTCCGATACTTTCACAGTTTGCCTTGTATTAGGTTAATTCAAGCGAAATATATGTTTATACATAGCGACGGCAAGTTAATCAAACAAAAGTCAGCTGATGGACTATCTGACAATCGCCTGAACGTAACTCACCTCCATAAACCGAGCACAAGAAATGATCATTCGTTAGCTTATCTTGTGTTTCATTATCGCTGGATCTTCTACGAATAAATAATAGTGAGTGAGCGAGATGGATCATTTTTAGTTTTCTTATTAAGTAAGCAGTGGTGAGATTCAGATTCAAATAATAAATACTACATCTGATATGACCTTACTAAAATTTCTTCCGTAAAGAAGATCAAAGAAAATTATATGATAGTTTATTGGCCTATAATTAGGTTTAAATAACACGAAAATAATATATATGCGATAAAGGTACGCCTAGATTAAATTATGGCTGGGACATTAAATACGGTTCGTCAAATTCGCGGTTAAAACGGGTATGGGGCGATAGAAGAAAGTTTTTAGTTTATATAGTTTTTAAGATATATGTCATTTAAAGTTGTTTAACTTTTACTATATAATGAATTGTAGACTTATATTGTTCACTTTTATTTTCACAAAGACTTCACAAAATTGTTTCTACACATTCTTTAATTGCAAATATTTAATAATAATTTGCTAAATGTGACTACCTAGGCAAATCAGATTCAGTAATCGCATACCTTTGTCGTATTCGGTTTATTTTCCACAACTCTATGCATTCACTCGCTACTTCCGCTACTCGTTATTTTCGTGAGAATTTCCTTCTATATAGCAAGCTAGAAAGAATTCGCTAGTGTCGGGTGGCATTTCGCCGGGGCATTCATATGTGAGAAAAGGACAGTAATATTTCTATGGAAGCCGACTAAGTTTGACAGCATCAGAAAAATAATTCTTGCTCGCGAATATCATATAGCAGTGAAATAAATATTAAAAAACAAAATTTGCATCCAAAATAACAATATAACGTGAGTAAAACATATTACAGTTTTTCATTAAGGTGTATATAACTCTCAACGTTTGAAATTCTAGTGCGAAAACGTGCAGCAACCAGAAATTTGTAAGCGAAAATATATCGTGCCAGGGTCACAGCGCCGGTCAAGAATTGCCTTGTTGTGGATATTTGGATAAAAGCACGCCGTTCTAGAGCCTTCTTCCTGCTAAACGGATAATAACACTGCCACAGAACCAGCATGTCTCATACAATACTTTTGGTGCAGCCTGCTTCTCGACCTGAGACGCGCACCTACAGCGACTACGAGAGTGTAAATGAATGCATGGAGGGTGTTTGCAAAATCTACGAAGAACACCTGAAAAGGCGCAATCCCAACACACCTACAATTACATACGATATCAGTCAATTATTCGACTTTGTTGATCAGTTGGCGGATATCAGTTGCCTCGTTTATCAAAAGTCGACAAATACTTATGCACCCTATAATAAGGAGTGGATCAAGGAAAAAATATACGTGCTGCTGCGGCAAGCGGCAGGCAATTCAAATTGATGTGGTAAACGAACTGCTTGAGAGCTGTTAGCAACATATAATCGCAATACGGATGAAAATGAATAGGTTTTATAATAAAATCTATTACAATTACGAGTAAATTAATACGATATGTAATTGATTTTTATTTGAACTATTGTAAACACGTAAAATACGTTTGTCATAGCTTCTCCAATCAATCGAAGCTTTAAAATCATTGCAACAGATAACGCTACTCGAAAAGCAATGTAGAAAAAAACCAGTCATTTAATTTCATCTTCAAAACTTACAGTAAACACTATTGACAAGAACACTTTTTTGTATTTTTGCTACAACATTGAATTAAATATTTATGTAATCATTTATAAAGAAATAATATTTACTTTTCCCATGCAGCCTACTGCAGCAACGGATTAGCTGTTTCAGAAACTGAACGAAGTATTTGAAACTCTAATTTGTGGCCACCAACACTTTAATTAAACTTAGGGATAAGATGCTAGTAATAAGAATTTCTTGAAGTTTGTGTTTGAAGTAAATGCCAGTTCCGCATAGATTTTGTAAACTGCCAATGCAAATGCAGTTACTTTTGTAAATGGAAGCGAATGGACGTGTACACATTAAACAATAAATGTTAGAAAATCAAAAGACTGTTATTTATTTCAATAGGCGCATAGACTAACTGTGAGTATTTATGGACGATGTGCACATTCCTACATACAATTCAATGTATTTACGTATATTGTTTGGGAGATGCTGTCGTATAGATTGGCTTTGTATAATTAGCGGCAACACGATTTTTTAATTGAAAAATAAACTCGGTTGCAATGTGTCTACAATCGCATACAGTACTTATACGTTTGTGTATGGAGATATTAAAAAGAAATTCTGATAATTAAGTACTTTCTTAAGTTTTTTGTTGACAAATCGTGAAAGTTTTCCGGGATACCTATGGACTTTTCGCTGAAATAATATGTTTCTAAAATTTGTTGTAAACAATTGAAAACTGTTCAACATGTGCACATGGCGTTCTGTAATATTTAATTACTATACTTCACGTATATATTTAGATATTTTTTTCGATGGCTTTAAGAGCTTTTTTAAGTGTTTATAATTGAATGAATGAATAAAAATTCGAATAGCAGCCCATATGAATAATGTACAAAAATTTGCATCTGAGCCAACCAAAAAAAAACCAAGATGTTTGCGTCAAGTTTTGGTTTGTCTTTGAAACAAAATTCGTAGTAAAAAGCATTTAAATTTGGATTTCACTTTCAATATTATATATCGGCTGTATTTAATCATTTATGGAGACATTACTTTGCGCACACATTTTTATACACTACACCTATACCTATCCTCCCGATATAGTAATTAAATTGCAAATATGTATGTATGTAATTAGGCGATCACAACGTTGAGGTCAGCATCAATCGGTGTTTTTGTTTTATTTTGCTTTTTTCTCATGCTTACACTGTTTTGTGATTAACAATGAATATCGTTCTGAGTAATTAACAAATACGTACTCACAATTAAGGCAGTTCAAATGAAAACTTGTTTTTGACCGGTACGATGCACTAACACAGATTGTTAATACGAGACCAATACAGATGAACAATCAATTTTTTGCATTTTGCACTTAATTGTCATATTTTTATTTCATACATAACTATACCACTAAATTGATTAAAAAAATGCTTTACTACAGTTAACGCAATCACTTCCCGTGCACAGCGAGAATTTACCGGAGCAACCGACAAACGGATTCGGAGGTTGACGTAGCGTCGTACATATACCTTAGTTATGTAGCCTTTGCCTCTCTGCAGCAGTTTCACTTTCCATTTCATATTCGATTTCCACTTTAGACTTTTTGCTTCGTCGTGCCGCTGCTTTACTGCTGCTCGCCGTGTCAGAGGGCGCTTTACTTGATTTCGTTGGAGCACGTACAAAGGCACCGGGAGCTGATGTATCCTGTATTGCATGCAAAAAAGTGAATTAGTTTTGTATTTAAACTGTAATTCAAACTTAATTATAATGTTATGAGCAACACAAGCACTAAAACTAATTATTTTTGTATTAGTTTAATATTTTTATTATATACATGATCGTATGATTCGTGAATATTTTAATAATTATTTTCAATTAAGCTAGAACTTTCAACTTTGATCGGCGACAAGGTTGTGTGCTCAACATATTATTTGCTTTTTACACCACTATACTATTTACTACTGACAGCACACATTAAGTACACACTACTACTTAATTATTACACAAAATGTTTATTTGAAACTCTTTAAATGATCACGCTATAACAAAGTTTTATTCATTTATAACTACTTATTGATATCTGAGTATCTGAGTTGCACATGCGCGACGTAAACTAACATAACGAATATTATGCTTGACATTATAATTATGGTATTTGAAAATTTTTTTGAAAATCCAACTGTTTTTACTCAGCCACTCACGCAATAATTGTTGCAGTGTTTCAACAACACTTATTATTACCGCGCAACGAGCTAATCAGAATGAAAGCGCTTGGCATACTAAAGCGTTTATTTTTTCTGATGCCTATAAATATAATGACAACAGCACGATGCGCGGAAATAAGGTCCGAAATGTTTTATCATGTATCAAAATACAATACGCTCTAAACAACTACTTCAGATTAACGCTAACAATATAGGTAATGATGAGAGCAGAAAAAGTGGTATGTGTTAAGGTACAATTACAAAGTCAAATAAAAAGTTAATTTAAATTTTTAAAGCTAACTGTTTAATTGAGAATGATACTTCAAATGAATGAGATAATAAATTGAAAGCCTGATGCCGCATGATAACCGCAAGAATTCGAGTCGATTACATACTCTTAAAAATGTCAATAAAACAAAACTATATGTAAGGTATACCACTCACCTCAATATCGCCAGCATCGTCATCACTATCTGAATCAGTGAAATCGCTATCCACTTCAATTTCTTCCCGTTCTCCCGAATCACTATCCGCATCGTCTTCATCATCGGAATCGGCTTCCACGAATTCTTCATCCAGCAACTCACGGCGTACCTCTTCGTCAACTTCCATTTCTTTTTCGATTTCTTGCTCTTCCTCCTCGCTCGCTTCTTCATCTTCCACTTCTTCTGCTTCCAAAGCTTTATTGAATGCAGTTTGTGGGAAATTGTATATATCCTGGTACGTGCCGGTTTTTAAACGCTCCAACAACTCTTTTTCAATATGATTATCAATTTTCGCAGCTATCAAAGCCTTTTTCTCTCGGCGTGCTTCCCTTCTTTCGATTTTACGCGATAATGGTACTATCAGTTTCTGTCGTCGTAGCTTAAGTTTACGCATACGTATTAGATACTGTGTAATTTTCAAAAACCGTTGTTTGTTTTTCGCAATCATATATTTTGGCCAAAACACCAAATTTTCATTGATCTGTTCCAGTGCCTTTTCAAAGTTGCGTGATAGTTTAACTCGTTCCCATAATTTGTTTGGCATATGTGCTCTTTCCGCAGTCTTTATGTATAAATAAATTATACCTTTTTCTTCGCGAACTGTAGCATACTGTGAGTTGGCCAGCGGGCATGTTCGGCGCGTACACAGACCGGTTAAATTGTATTCATGTCGACAGAACGTGCGCGTATCGGTTCTATTATTAAAATATGAAACAAAGAAGACATTAAAAATCCTTAGGAAGTTTACTATGTAGAACTTACTTGACTTTATGTGAACAAAATGACTTGTTTATAATACTCCACACTACCTGTAGATAGAAAGAAATGATTATGTTATTTAATGTCATCTATAGAATTACAATAGTATGTCTTACATCGTCGTGCTGCATTGTGTTTTAGTTTTTAATACAATCAATTGGTAAAAATTAATTAAAATTAACAAAACACCAACGTAAAAACACGTGTGAGCCAAATTCAACAAACCGTCCAAAACATGGGAAATGTCAACTCCTTGACAGCTGTTTTCATTAATTCAAATGTTGCCACCCTTTATCCATCCCATTCGGTATTAATATTTATTAGCAATTAAATGCAAATTCAGATATTTAGATAACGATTTAGGTAGAAGTCGATGCTTTAAGGGTTCGTAGTTTTGAATTGTTCATATGTAGTCATAGTTTGTAAGAACTTTATTTCTCCGCTTCGAAATTCGTCAGTGCTGCCAAACCACTTCTGTCAATGTGTTTGGCAGTCTTTCCCAATATTCACCACATTTTTGGTGGAATTTATTGTGGCAAATGTAAAAATAAAAAGTGACAAACATTGTAGAACGCGTTGCGAATTTGGTTGAAAGCGCGCATTTTGTTGAAAATTTAATGCAAATATTTGCAAACGAGTAAAAAGTTTATTCATTGGCAAAATGTACAATCAACTGTTGCTGTCGCTGGCGGTGAGCACGGTTCCAATCCTGGCGTTTGCATTTGTGGGACTTTTATTGCTGCACAAACTATACGTGAAAATTCGGTAATATCGCTTTCAATTGGGGCACACCAAATTTCTAACCTCCTTCAACCGGTTTAATTTTGCTATAGTCAATATATATTTTTGACTTTGTCAATATTTGTCAATTTATTCTATGGCATTGAACATAATTTTCGCATATTAAACGCAATCATCAAAAATTATTTATAGCTCCAATTTTGATGTGAGCGTAAATTGCTGGTTTTGCAATCAAAATACGCGCGTGCCATATTTAAAATCGAACAGCTGGACGTGTCCTCATTGTGAACAATACAATGGATTCACCAAAGATGGGGACTACAACTGTGAAATGCTTTCACAAATGGATTGCAGTAATTCATCTACAGGTATAGCAAGACTTGATCATTCATCTGAATATGACTCCACAGAATCAGCGCTGTGCGCTCTTAAAAATGGGTTTTGTAATGAATGCAATGAAGCACAACGTTTAAAGGTGGAGAAGTTGGCACAATTTGAACCCAAAAGAGAATCGCGTTTTGACGAAGAACTCAAAGCTTTTAAGTGAGACTATTATACCATATATAAAAATCAGATATAAATAAGCGCTTTAATTTCATTATTTCTTATAGAGTAAAATTGGAGCAGCAATATCGCTTATGTGGCACATGTGAACGTCATTTGGGAAAAGTACTTCATGAAAAGAAAAAAATGGTTCTGGGTTCCAAATTTCTTGATTTCATTATAAAAGGTGCTGAAACACTGAAACAACCACATTTCAGCCATGTCCGTCATGTACAGCGTCAACACTGGAAACGCCGTCTTTCGCTTCACATAACTTTACTGACAATAGTGAACTTGTTTTGTTTATGCTGCATGTTGCCGACATTGACGCGTGAGCATCTCACATCAGTTTTAGGGGAACGAGTCGGAGAGCAGCTGTTTTTGGCTATTTCACATGTGTTGGCATTGTGCCGCGTGTTGACCGCATACCTTACTCAAATTGGCGCGCATCCATTGTTGGAAAAATGTAAACTGTTTTCGCGTACAATTTTCATGATGCTTATGTATTCGCTTGGGTTAAAGATGCCGCTAATAAGTCGTATTAACTTTTTTTCGCTTTACGTGCTTGTATATCCTTTTGTGCTGCTGGGTATATCTTTTGGCTATAAAATGATTGATGGTTTTAAACTGACACGTTTCACATTTTTGTTGGCCTTATGGAGCGCATTTGCAGGCGGCCTAATAGAGGAACAATTACACTTTCCGTCAAATACTCTAATGGTATGTTCAGGGGCAAAATATATTATGTTTTGGGAAATAACTTGATTTTTTCCTTCCCTTTAGCTCATTGCTTCAACGCTAACTCTTCTTCTCTCATTGACAAATGAAGTTGAAGTCTCTCCGAAACTTCATGATAATAGTACCACCAGCTTTCATAAGATCTATTCCGAGGACTACTTGAGTGATGATGATACAATTAGCATGTTAAGTCAACAGTTCAATTGCAGTAGCGCAAGTACCGTTCGATCAACTTCCATACGTGGACGACCATCGCCGCAGCAGAAAGAGCATATGTATAAGTCGCCGGTTACTTCGTCAACTCTTTCTTTACACAACGCAACAAATACAAAAGTTTCACCTAACTCTAGCTACAAATCTTCCTACTTCGATGTGCAACCCAATGCACACTCAGGTCGGTCTCATTATGCAGCGTCTTCCGTTGGAGATTTCCACTCATCTGCCACATTGACCGCACGTGCTCCATTTTTTGGTTCAAATCTTGACATAAATAACCTGGAACGTGCGCGGTCACCGATGTTTGGTCACAGTGGTAATAACTTAAGAAACGGCATAAACGCTTCAGTATTAAATGCATCCTTTAGTGGAGAATCGAATGCGCATATAGCAGCGCAGAAGAACGGTTTCTACGGTCAGTATCGCATCGGGGGACCAATGAGTCAGCGCAACTTCTCTGGAAATTCTGGTGCATTACACTCGCCATTTTCATTGTCCAGTAATACGGTGTATCAGCGTCCTGCTTCGACAAATTTACTCACGCCATCTCGCTTCAGCACCACTTGTCTTGCACAAACGCCTGCAACGTCTTGGTTATCAACCGGTTGTTTAAACCAGCTTAACAAAAATTTTCCAGAACCACGGCAAACAATGACTACCATTGGAGAGAATTTATCGCGCGCTTCATCGCAGTCATCGGGGTTCGAGTCTCAAAACGAACGCTTAAATGTGTCCCGTGAGAATTCGTTCAGCAACGAAAGCAACGACGCCGCGGCGCATACTACAGCTACAGAAGCCACACGTGGTTTCCAGCCAATTGACGCTGGCAGCCGTTCGGCTTTCTCACCACGCCCCTCGCTGTTGTCTAACCCAGGGTTGGTGACGCCATTAACAGTGAATTGTGGATTGACATCACCTGCCGCCAGTCAAGCGCCATCTATGGGCGACCTATGGGCTGCACCCGTTCAAAGGAAAGGTCTCGGAAGACTTGATATATTTAATTTACGTAAAATTAATGATGAACTACCACTGCCCACTCATAAATATAAAAGCGGTGATCTGCTGAAAAAATGGAAGGAAAGCCAATTAATTTCCTAACCTCAAGATATTTTGTTTAATTCATATACATGATTTTTTTTATCACCTCACATGTAACAATATTCATTTAATTTATATTAACTAAGAAATTTTTAGTTTAATTAAATTTATATATACAGATAAGTTTACGCAGGACTCAAGAGGGGAATATAATTTATTGTTTAGTTAACAAGATAATTGTAACTTTTATTATAGCATATAGAACAATTCCTTCATAGCTTGTATATATATTTTTTTTATTATTTAAACAAAAAAGTTAAAAAGGCGCATATTGATAACAAATTTGTGTTCAAAAATGTTGAATTGTTCACATAATATTGACTACATTAATGGTTACATTAGTGGTTTTGGATTGTAATTTTATTTTTGAAGTTCTAGTTGTAATCGTAAATTAAGCACTGCCAGGTAAACACATTTGTAAATTATTTCTACAAGTTGACATGTTCAAAAAATGTGTTAAGGAATAAAGGCTACTTTCAAGTTTTCATACAAATGCGGTTTTAATTTCAAAATGCGGAGATTGCCTGCTCCTGTTGCGTTGTGTTATGTGATTGAGTAAATGCATAGGTAAATATGAAATATTAACATAGAATGTACCTATGTACGTATAAAATTGAGGTAAGAACTCGTCAAGGCCATATTATTGATGCAGTTTAGTAATTTGCGAACAAAAATATAATTATACTTCTTAAAATTTTATTAAACAAAATTAATAAACTACAACAATAATAGATTTTAGATTCAACTTTCTTTTGGCACAAAGTCATTTTGTGTGCGGATCGATGCAACCCTGTACGTATTTTGGATCAAAATATTATTATCACTGCATTCGTAATTCTCCCACCACCCACCCAACCGCTCACAAGCACATAGAGAGAAAACGGGCATACGCTCCCAGCCACCTGCTGATATCAAAAGTTTGAAAACATCGCCACTCTCCACCGCAATAACCATTTGATAGTCAGTCAGTCAAGTTTCGTTGACATTGAATTAAAGAAATGAGTGGAAGGCGCACAGTGATTATTTTCAAATCCGAATCAGAGAGTAGTGACCGGTACGCGGAGGAATTGCATGCCAATGGCTTCAATCCGATATTTGTGCCAACACTCAGTTTCGGTTTCAAGAATCTGGAAGAGTTGCGAGGCAAATTGCAAGCGCCCGATAACTTCGCTGGCATCATTTTCACCAGTCCTCGCTGCGTCGAAGCCGTTTGTGAGGCATTGCAGTTTTCCGAGCTGCATGGCGGTTGGAAACTATTGCATAATTATGCAGTTGGCGAGGTCACACACAACTTGGCACTGTCGTCACTGCAACAACTATTCACGCATGGCAAGCAAACAGGCAATGCCCGAAATCTGGGCGATTTCATAGTGGACACGTTCGACGGTTCGCGCAATTTGCCACTCTTGCTGCCTTGCGGCAACTTACGCACTGACTTGCTGCTATCGAAATTGGTGGAAAACGGTTTTCAGGTGGACGCTTGTGAAGTGTACGAAACTGTTTGTCATCCGGCGCTGGCCGAGAATATGGAACGGGCTTTAAAGGCCGACAACATCGAGTACTTTGCCTTCTTCTCACCCTCGGGCGTTAATTGGGTACATGAATACTGTAAGGCGCACAATGTGAGTATGGACAAATGGAAGTTGGTGGCGATAGGGCCGAGCACACGTTTGGCTATAGAAGAGCGTGGCCTGCATGTGTTTCAAACAGCCGAGCGACCTTCAGTGGAGTACCTCATCAAGGTTTTATTGAATCCCAGTGTAGGACGACCAAAGCCGACTGGTGAGATCAAAGTGGAAGACTAATCAAGGATTCTTCATTGGTGGAACTGATTGTCAGCTGTTAGTTTGAAGTTATTCATTTATTTATTACCTGTTTAACGCCGTACAAAGGGTGGCCTTATCGAATAATTATAATGTTTGTGATCTGGTATATATGTGTATACTTATACGTACATATTTACATACATACGTATATATGCACATTCATTCATTCAATTCAAATGGAAACAAAGGCATGTTACTGTGCAGAACGCATCCAATGAACGAGTAGATATTGTGCATACATATATATGTATGCAAATTTTTAGGAAATCGTTCAAATTGATCGGCATATTTTTAATTTTCCTTCTATTAATAAGCGCATGTAAATCACCTTTTGCAATGTAAATAGCTTCTATATATTTGTAAGTGCAAGTGTGTGCTAAGGTGATCTTAAATAAACTTGCACTTTCGACAATATTACACCTACATTGTACATACAGATATACATACATATATACATATCTAGGTGTACATGTATGCATGCACATAGTCGTCACCTAGTTTAGAGAGAAGTGATCTAATAAAAGTATACATTTTTTATTTGCTTCATTCAATTTCAGTGTTTTTATTTCCATGAAAAATAAAAAATATTTAGACCGCCATTACATGTACATATGTACATATACATACATACATGCAATCCGAAATAGATTATTATTTTTAGCGTATCCAAACAGTCGTCTCTTATAAATTATTATTCACACGTGCCACTGATAATTAAACGAAATTTAATTGGATTTAACGTTTGTGTAAAAGTAACGGAGCTGTAGGCGGTGCATTTCGCATTTTCGTAAACAAATTCAGAATTTCTAAAATCTGCAAAAATACACTTTAGGTAATATAGATTTGCAACATGTTCAAAAATAGATAATATTAAGCTACACATTAGAAAACCAAGTGGTAGCTGCCATGATAAATTTAAAAATTTGACGGTGCAAGACATGACCCAAATAGGTTTAGAGAATATGGCTGTATATAGAATCCTCATTGGCCAAATATTAATTCGGATCCATTTTCGATGATATATTATAACATAATAAATAATTTTAATTTTCGAGCTACTTCCATAGAAACTACGACTAACTAAAATTAAAATAACAAAATATTGGTATGTTTTACTTCAATAATTAATCCAAAAAACAGAGTGTCAGATTTTCATATCAAAATCAATATTGTTTTATTTATAAATCATCCATGTGAATTTTTTATTGTTCCATTAGAACCATTTTTATTTTTACATATAAGAATATTCATTTTATCGCATTTTCATATTTTTATGTATATAAAACTTGAACTTCACTCTTCGCGAAGGACCAAATGACTTGTTTATAAAATTCAAATTTATATTTTGTTGATCGGTTAAATTAATCACTATTTGTTAGTAGTTCAGCAATTTTTTACATTATTTTTATTTATTGGCCTACTAAGTGATTGAACTTCAAAAAATCTTAATTATAATCTAGTGGAATAAAACATGCATTTAATAACAAAACACGAAAACATATGATCAGATGGTAGGAATTGGTAACGATAGGACTGTTGTAACAAGTTGCATTCTGAGGCGGTTCGTGTTGTGTCATTGCCCGTCAAGCCAACACCAGCAGCGAAAATCTTTAGCATATTGCTCTATACTTCCACAATAACAAAGGTTAAGAGAAAATTTTCTCGGCTTTCATCAACTTCACCAACAACATTTTTAACGTTTTCTACTCTCTATGTAATAAGTCTTTGCTGTGGACCATGAGTTCATTCCATTGGTGGTGGTTTTTATTTCTATTGAAACAAATGCAAAAAAAAGTTGTGGCTAACTGCAGCAGACGCGCGACTTAAAGGAAAATATGGATGTTTGTTAGTTATTTAGGTTATTTAGTTACCCCATCTCCCTTAACTCAAAAGTTTAAGTTATTTCCTCTTTACATTTCCTTCATCTTCTTCTAATAATACAATGGTTTATTTTTATTTTATTATATTATGTATAATATAATTATTTTGCCAAGTAATAATAACAATTTTTCATGTAAATGGATTCCCGTTGCGTTGCTCTTTTCTCTTGCTTGAATGATTAGACTTCCATTTATATTTATTATTTCAAATTAATAGTACTGTTATTTAATAATAATGTGTAATAATTATATATATAGAACAACTATAACTTAAATTATCTTTTATTATATCATTTAAAAAATTTTCTCAAAAAACAAAAAAAAATGCAATTTATATATATATCTGTGTGTATATATAAAGTTGGTACTCAATAATAAAATAATTAAGACGGAACGATTCAAGGAAATGCCTGGATTTACGTTTTTCATTTTGGCGATTGTAAGTGACTAAAAGGGAGAAAAAACAATTGACATTTTAGTATCGCTCGGGAAAAATATTTTCAGTATGATTTCAAAAATACTTTTATTTTAGCAAACTTTCAGTTTTAGTTTAAATACTTAAAAGATTTTAAATAAATGCCAAACGCACAGGAATATTTCGCAATTTAGATTAAAAAAATGAATAAAAGGCAAAAACAAAAAATATTTAAACGATTATACAACAAAATCGTAACTTTTAGGAGGAACAGCAATCTTTTTTCTTGTTTACGTGTGTCATTGTCATTAGATTTACTTTTTATTCAAAAAGAAAAGAAAATGCAATTTGATCGTTTCTACGAATTTGATTTGTAAGCGTTTATGAATTTTTGTTTAATCTTTTTCTTTAGGGTTTTATCTACTTTGCGACATCGAAGACTTTATCTTATCAAAAGTGTATCAAATTTCAATTCTTATTTCGTAAATAGTAATTCTTTCATTTAAATAACGATCGACTTGAAGGCCGCCGATCGAACGGAGGTGTGTTTTTCGTTAGTTGGTTGATTGCTTGCTGGTAATTGTTGTTGTTTTATTGTTAAAATAGCCGCTTCTGTTGATCTTGTTGTTCTATACAAAGGACTGGCGTCATAGTGATACCAGTCATCCTCGGCCAGTGCGCACCAAGCTGCCACCCTCCAATTTACATATTTTCAAATTGATCCACGCGACGCTTTGTGTTGCCCTTACGTATTTCGCGCAATGTCTTGTACTTGTCACGACCTTGACGCACATTCTCCCGATGGATCTTATCGTTTTGCGTTTCTTTCGTTTCGTCACGTGATTGTGCCAAGTCTTGTTTCAGAGCCTAGAAATATTCGAATAAAATTTATTGTTAGTGACATTTTAACATCTCACAGTTACATTTAAGCCGTTAACTAACCTTCAACTGATCATGCAGGCGCTCGTTGCGCTCGGCCAGTGTGCGTCTGTCCTCGATGGGATCCTTGATATGTTCATCTGTATCTAGATCGCGTGAAACATCACCGCCACCGTCGCCATTCGTCAGCTCCTCCTCATTCTCGTTTTCATCTTCGGCTACATGATGATGTTGAGGTGTGGTGGACGCGGCCAAAAGCGCTGCAGCAGCTTCCGCCTGCAAACGTAAAATTTAGTTAGTTTTGTATTCGAAGGCAATAAGTAGTTAATTTTGCAGTTTGCTTACCTGCTTGCGTCTAGCTTCCTCCACTTCGTCTTGCAGACGTTTAGTCTCTTCGTCCTTGGCGTTCACCTCATCCTGAATGCGTTGTACTTCCATTTGTTTGGTCATGATCTCCTCCTCCAGCTTGGCTTTCTCAGCTGCCTCCATATTCTTTGCCTCCTCAAGGCGTTGCAACATAGCTTGCAGCTCTTTCTGGCGTAGCTCCAATTCGTCCTTGGCTGCCTGCAGTTGACGCAATTGCTCCTCCAAACGGCGAATCATCTCCTGCGCTTCCAGTAGGTCCTTCTGAGAGCGCTCCATTTCCTCTTGCATCTGCTTCAGACGATCCTCATACTCTTGCTGCTTCTTCTCAGCTCGTTCGCGTGCCGCTAGTGCCAACTGCAGCTTCTCCCTGAAATCATATAACACCCAATTAGTAAATGAACAACAACCAATTTCAAGACTCTACACAAACTTACCGTTCTTGCTGCTTGGCATTCTTCTCCTCGCGTGCCTGCGCCTTCATCTGCTGCACATCAATTGTGTCGGGCTTGCGTCGTCTCATGTACAGTTCGTGGTTGCCCATGCACAAGGCCAGGATTCGTTTGTTGATGCGTACACGCGGTGCAAAGAAGACAAAGTCGGGCGCTTTCTTATCGATTGGCTTGATAATAAACTTTTTATCCGAAAATGAAATATTACGGATTTCCGACCAAGGAAAACCGATTTTCGGCGTCAGCTTGTCGTCCTCCTCATAGATGTTCAGGCCGAGCGCGTCTACGCCCAACCACAGGTCGGTGCCCTTTTTGTTGCGGATTTCGAAGTAATTCACGCCATACATCTCAAGATCCTGTGCGATCTTCAAGTACTCCATCATGGCATCCTCGCGCAACATGCCGCGATGCTCCTTCCACCAGTTCATAATAGATTGCTCCCATTCATCCTTGGACATTTTGTGTTGATCGATGACACGTTGCGGCAACAGGCGATCGTTAGCCAAAAAGCCGGCTGTGTGCATGCTCTTGTTGTAGTCGCCGTGGCGCGCTTGAACAGCGTACGAAGCGAGCAATACGGACGTTTCCGGGGGACAGTAGATTTCGTCGGATAGTATGGCATTTTTCACTTGCAAATAGAACAGGCGCAGCGTAATGTCTTGAATTAGCTCCTCGGCGACGTCTTCCGGGTAGAATTTGGCGCGGAATCTAAACTGCAGAGGATTCTCCTTCTTCACGTCTTGATTCAAAACCTGTACAGGGAAGGTAGTAAAGCAAAAATTAGTCGGAGCACATTTAATCGACAAAGCAAAACGAAATGAGTAGAGTTCAACAAATTCGTAAAACATTTACCCAAGTGGAGAATGGCATTGATCCAGTCTATTCAAATACGATGCGATTTATGGGTGCATTAGTAAGAATGAGAAAAAGGTGGTAAATCAATAAATGTTTCTTATTATAAATGTACACCTTCGATTTGATAAAATAGAGCGTGAAAGGAACCAAAAAATAAAAGAAAACATTTTAATTGGAGACAACGAAACTAAGGCACTACACTATAATGGAGACTAATATAAGAGTTTAAAAATAATAAAACTCATTTCACAAGATATACCAGGGAAACAACACGTTGGGGGTCACATATTAAATTACTTTCGTTTAGCTCGATCTCTACACCCCAACTCAGTGCTAAAGCGGGTTTCAAAAGCTAGACATTTGTATTGGTATGAGCTTGCTCTAAAGTTGAAGTGATGCAACGGTGGTTCAATACGTCAGGCTCACCATATCATCGGCATCGTCGTCTTCGTCGCTAACATCATTGCTGTTCTGATGGCCATCGGCTGTTTTCTTATCCACATATTTCTTGACGCGTTTCAAGTACTTTATGGTTTTTATGGCTGGCGACTCTGGCTGTGCGGCAGCCATTGTGTGTATATAGAAATGTTAATTATTCTGAGAAATTTGGCAATTTTCATATAAACATTTAAAAACAAACGAAAAAAAGACAAATATGTGCTTAATAACTGTAACTGGTGTCATCGAGCATTTAGCCAACTTTATGTATGTATAATTACAGAGCGAACTCACGGTCACGAATGTCTGTATGTTATGTTCGGGGACGATTGGCTTCAGTCAAGCGAAGTTAAATAGTGATTTTGTAAAATTTCAGTTAGACAGTAATGTATTCTCCAAATCCAAATTAATAGCCAATCAATGCAAGTTGAATCCGAATTCGTAACATGTTCGTTTTCTTCATTAGAACGGTCGAGGCCATACTTCCCGCCTATACGAGTATATCGGTGAATTTGATTCATTCGGTTTATTTCTTTTTTAGCTTTAATTAATGTGATTCGCCAATTTGCAATTTCGTAATTACTGTTCTACGAGTTCGAACTGAAGTAAAATAAAAAAAAATCCATAAAATGCTCTTTCGAAAAACATGTTGTCGAGTTCGCACAATCCACAACCTTTTTCTGTTATAAGACGGATATTTGTCCTCTATATATTAAATGGCTCATTTTGAAATCAATAAACCAACTCAAGATAAATAAAATCTATAGAAGTTCAAATGAATCCTTAATGTTCAGTCATAATGAAATAAAAGCAGTATTATGAAATGTCGATGAAGTTTTATGTTTTAAAATTTACATATGTATGTATGTATTCCACATTTGTTATGATTACAGCGAAACCCTTAGAACTTTCATGCTCTCTAGTTTTACGGGACTTTTTTCGTAGTCATTTCCATCTATGTAGATGGAAGAGAATTAGATTTACTTTTGGACAAGAATATTTACATCAGCAGTACTTTTAAACACTATTGTATCACCATAACAATAAAAATAACGGTATTGTGCTCATTAATACAAAAACTTTACTTTGCTTTATACGTCTCTTAAAATTCATTCCTATATTGTGGAGTTGTGGATATTGCTGAAATATTATTTGTGAGCCTCTTAAGAAGTATAGAATAAAAGCTAAGTCGAATTGTTGATTTTCTAAAAAAAAAAAAAAAAATTCTGAAAGCTAGACATCTGAAAAACACTTGTGTTCCAATTAAAACTTTCAGAACCACCTCTTGAATTGTTGCAGTTCTATTTTTATTCACTACGTATTCTAAAAAATATGAGAGCTCTAGTTTTATATTTATTTTATTTTTCTTTTGACGAACCCCTTCAGAATTTTTGTATTTGGAAAACTTTTCATCGAGGAAACACATAATATTTAATAGAAAACTTCTTAAAAGTAATTTTTTCATTGTCACCACATTTTCTTTTTCCTTTATTATTTTGCACACCGATAGGAAATGCAACATTGAATTCTAAAAACGGCGTCAAGTAATTCAGCATTAAGAAAATCAAATAAAATAAACTGAAGCTTAAAAGAAGACGACAATGGCTCCACTAATTTATTTCCAATACCTTACCTTTTTGTAAAGTTTAATCCATGTGGAATCACCCTTTGAATCGGTGTACTGCAGGCCAAAGAACCAGACTTCGCGCAGGCCGATCGTTTTGACGACCTGATCGAAGAGCTGCTTGCCGGTGGTCGTGTGTTGTATGGCAAACTCCAGCTCGGCGTCCATGGTGGTGACGCGTACATTTAGCTACAAAATCAAAACATACAAAAAAATCGTTAGTTAATATTATATTATATAATAAAAATCACTTTAATTACTGTAAAAAAGAAAATAGAAAATCAGCAATGACTGCCAGAAAGGCGGAAAGGAATTCGCAAACACGCTAAATGCTTGAATAACATTGTCACAGGGGTGGAAAGTGGCTAGTTGGCGACAAATTGCTATTGTTACTGTGATTATGCAACAATATAGTTAATTTGCATGTATTACTCGCCTATCGATCGATTACGGTTACTTTTTATATGTGCTTCGTGTGTGTATGGGACACTTGCGGCAAGCAATTCGACAGCAGCGATAACGATAAATATTTCTATTTTGCATTTAAGAGTTAGGTGAGCATGGAAGGGGCGCCATTTGCGCATATTACTACTACTGTATGTAACGAAAAGTCGCGAACGTCGGGCGAGTGACACGCTTACATCCACGTGATGTCACAATCAAACAACAGCTGTTGTCTACACTCGCACGCATTTATACATTCGTACACTAAAAATAGGAATAAACAATTTGAGCAGACAGATCCAATAGAGCGCATACGAACATATCCACACGCACACAAAAATTAAAAGAAAAGCATACGCAAACAACTGTCAGTTGGTGGGTGTGAGGTGGATGAGGTAGTGCTGCTTAGCACTCATTAGTAATTGGACAGCGGTCATCAATAGTGTCCGCTCGCTCACTACTTGAATTTGCTTATTTTGCATGCACTTAAGTTTATGTGTATATAGACATGCATATTTACTGGTATATAGTATAGCTTGTGCAAATAGCAAATCGAACGAACGCACGCACTGCCATCGCAACGATGACCGGCTTGGCTTAGTAGCATGTGACGAGTTCGTTGGGATTTTACGGCGCTTATATGAACGCTTTGACGAGCTTTGTTGGCCAAAGCAAAAAGCTTGCATAATTAAACAAACAAACAGGTTCCAATCGCGATGGAGAAAACGCACGAGTGCGTCAAATTTAATTCACCTCCAACACGGCGTGATAAAGCGGACAGACGATGGCGTTCCAAGTTAATGACTCACAGAGGAACTTGACAATGTAAAGCAAAACTGCAAAAATCTTTCATTTTAACCAAAATTACTCAAATATTAATTTTTCTGAATTTCTCGCTTTAACACGATTTTTTTCGGGTCTTCATAACTACTTTCAATCGCGGTAGGGGTTAAATTCCTTGACCAAATGAAAACGGTTGTTTTAAATTAATTATCACAGCCCGTCTTCCGTCACAACAAGTGTTCGCAGTTTAGTACAAGAAAAAGAGAGAAATATCAACGCAAACATTTAAGCATTTTTGGTCTCCCCACGTCTCTTTTTCAGCTAGACGTGCAACAAACGTGCGAATGTTCAATCCAATTAACGTTTCTGGGTTAATGCATTCATAGTCCAAACGCACAGAAATTGTGTGCGGCACAAAGCCAAGCATATCCGTACATATGTAGGTATGTGTGTACATAGAAAATATATATGTAATATATAAGTCGAAATGCATACCCGATAGGAAATAAGGCAAATAACCTTAACTGTCGTGATTGATAAGGAGAAAAACTTCGGAGGTTATACAGAAATATATATTTTTCACTTTTTAGAAAAGTTTTTTATGTTTTCGAATTAAAAATAAAAAAGTGAAAATTTGCAGAAACACAATTAGTAAATTTCAAAAAGATAAGAGGGAAATATTTTCTAAAATTTAATCTCTTTTATTTAATCTTACAGATTGTAAAAATAAAATAAAAAAATGGTGCTTGTGTTGACTAGAATGTACATAATCACAGTGATCGGCCACTTCTCCGCATCAGAAGTTTGGAGGAACTGAAACAGCTGATGTAAACGGAACATTATTATTATTTTTGGCTGCAGACTGTACACGACAGAAACTCAAATCAATTGCAATACAAATTATCAAAAGCGGCGCCATTTTAAGTGACAGTAAGATTCTGTGAATTTTTAAATTAAATTTGCTGTATCTTCTTTCAAGCAAGTACTGAGTTAAACGGTTCTCATGAACTTAACAATAGGCTACAGCAGCTGTCAATTACTGCTTGATACTTTCACTTTATTTTATTTACTTTTGCAGAATAAGTTTTTTCTTATTCTCATAATACGCTGGGATTCTTCCTAGAAAGCACTTGAATTCAATCCCAGTAGTGTTATTAAACGATATATTAATATAATTATTAAAGTGTCACAGTTTTCTCACACAAAATCAGACCAACTCTAGTATATTTCGGATGATTATTGTTCCATTCATTTTGATATAATATTTATATTAAATTAGTGTATAATTCACACTAACCGTTTTTTGTTTCCAGCTGCCAACGTAGCGCGGCAGCCGAACCCGGCTATCGGACACGACCATTGCGCCAAGCTTTAATTTGTTTAACTTATAAATTGCTACCACGTCTCACACTTATTTTTAAATTTTATTAATTTCACCTCCTAATGCGTTGTTCTAAGCGACTGGTGGCACTTGTTTCAGAAGAATTTTTTCTTTATTTTTGTCGAAAGCAAAGAAACCGTTCTTTTAGGCGGATCTGTCAAGACTGAAATGCTTTCCAACAAATTCCATCATTATAAATCAATTCAGAATGCCAACAACCTTAACAACCCCCAGTAGTTTCTAGTTGGCCTCTAAGCCATCGACTCTAGGAGGGTGGGCCATTTGGGCCATCACTAGATACTAGTATCTATCGCTCGCATGTCGATGTTTGAGGCGAATGGCATATTGGCATATCGGCACGTTGAACACACCACACCTTCTTGCCTCCACAAGTAAACCCAACAATAGCAATCTGGGGAGTAAGTAGCCGCACGCAAGCCCAGCGTCGAAACGGAAATACATTTTAAGCGTGAAAGCAGTGTTACGCCCTGCGGGCCAGCACAAGAGTTCACCTGCTTGCGTGTAATTCAAGAAGCTAACACATCTAGCATTGGCTAGAAACAAAGTGAACGCAATCAATATGCGCTTGTAGTACACACCCGCGTAAAATGGGAGTTAAGTAAATAAGGTCGGCGCAAAGCTGGGATCGTAACGGTAGTAATGGAGAGCAACCTTATAAATTCCACCCCTCGTGGGTGTATGGAACATCAAATTTACCTATGTAAATATAAATGAAATGCGATTGTTTGTTTTGTTGTTACATGCGAATGCCTGAAGGAATTAAGTAACGCAGAAATACGCAAATGGAGCAACGAGACTTGGTAGCCACTTATTGATGGCAAAGTGCCGTTAAGCAAATAAACAACGTGTAAGCGTTATATTTATTTACCGTAAAGCAAAATGATGTACGAGCCTACAGGCAGGTAGATAGGTGTCAATGTGTGTTTGTGTGTGTGTGTGAGTATACTATCTTTTTAGCTCACTAGGTCATTCAGAGTCCACAGCGCGTAGTAATCAACGCAACATTTGCTAAGTCAGTGGCTATTTATTTATTTTATCGAGTGATTTTGCGCATCAGAAAATGTCTTTTTAGTTATGCACATACATAAATTGCCGCTCATACACCTGTATCGATGCCGTTCATTGAGTTACCTCCCGAGTAATGCTTGTTGGCGGGAGACCAAGCCCATTAATTTTTGTGCAAAACGGTTAACAGAAAAAATACACAAAATCAAACGCTAAAAACGTTGAATAATATGTAGGCCACTGACTGAGGCTGACTCATGCGGAAAATCAAAACAAACAGAAAACGGAAACGACAATAAAATGTTATTTCTCTCTAATGTTCCACCCACTGAATGGCACTTTATGCGAAATGGGAAAAGCTGAAGTTTGTTGCGGCTGTCTGTCCGCGTAAATCCTATGTTTGGGATGTTCGAATTGTTATATATATACATACAATACAATACATGTATGTATATAAAAGTTCGAACATTGAAGCATGCAACACATGTTAATATACATGCTATGTATTTATGTACTACAAACTATTTCGAATTGATAAGAGTATATGTTACATAGAAAATCTTTGTACGTGCCTATATTTAGAAATAAAAATATCAAAATAATAAGCAAACGGGTGAAAAAATATATATGAATATATCGGATAGTATCATTCAAATTCAGATTTCAAGTACTAATAAAAAGAAGAAGTTCAGACGGAATCGAAAATAAAAGAATTATTAGCAATAAATCGTTACAACACAACGTACGCCTAAATAAGTTTCAACTCCTAATTGGTTAATCGTGAAAACTAAGGAATGATGGCTATTTATTTTTGAAGTTCTCTACTGCTCCATAGAATCAAACCATATTAGCCAAAGGGGTGAAAAAAAGCAGCAAGCTAATTTTTCATCGTTTAAAATGGAAAAATTATTATTTATTGTTGAAAAAAATAAAAATATATATTTATCGAAAACTGATAAGATAACTGAGAAGTTGAAGAATGTTACTGGGAGAAATAAATTTGAGATTGATAATTTTTTTATTTTTATTGCCTGTTGAAAAAATCAGCACATTCCCTTTTCTGATTCGGCAGACGCTTATTTTGGTAATATGCGAAAAACACCGCAGTTGCAATAACCATTCGATAATTGACAATTTTGGTTGTTTACCATATATTAATATGCCAATGGTAAATTTCGTTCTCTTTCGCATTATTTATATTCAATAAAAGAGTCTCCACAATTTCAAACACAGTATGTTGCGCTAGATAAAAGCTTTGTTTAAACCGAAAATACCCCAACAGAAGCAATGTGTCATTAAAAGTCGACTTATTTATAATTTAAGCCTCACACTCATGTTTCACGTCAAATCACCCACGTCCACACACCGCATGAGTAATGCCAGTGTTGTATAACTGGCGCTGAGGCGCAATGCGGTGCAAAAAAGCCACACTTAATAATTTGGTAAGCGGCTGTCAGTCGTTGCTGCATAAATCGCTTATTGTACTGTGCATTTGTAATTCGTGTGAGAAAGTTAATTCAGAAATATTTTTAATTTTCTGTTTTGTTTTGGTTTTTAAATTTGGTACGCCAATGGACAAAATAGGTTCTTTTTCGTGTTTAGAAATATACCTGAGGAAACCTTTGTGGCGAAATAAAACAAGCGCGTAAAATTTCTAAGTTTATCATTTGAATATTTCATATTGTTTAAATGTAATTTAGTTTCAAGAATGTTGTATTGCGCTATTTTCTATTTGAACTTAATTGCGTCACTAACTATTGACATCACATGTTTTCTTCATAAGAGAGAGCTTAGAAGCTTCTTTATATACAGATATAACACCGAAAATTTTCTTTGACGTGCGATTTGAAAATATCTAACATTTGTAATCACTGCGGGTACTTGAAATCGTAGTTTATTGAGACTATGTGTATGATAGTGTGTAGTTTCTTTGTATTTATTTGCTGGCGATTCTCGAACGTTTGTTACGCTACAGTTTTTGTACAATAAATTTTACCTTGGCCCTAAATTTGCGCATGAAAAGTTGTCATATTGATAAAAAGAAACAACCACAAAAAAATATCGTTCCGCCAATGACTAGACACTGTTCCTGAGCGCAAAGAAAATTTAGTGATTTCTTCGTTTCATTCTTTTAAATATATTATTTTGCGTCCTAATGGTTTATTACTCAAGCAATTTCATTCCATTTCATACATACCGATTTTCGCGACATTTTGGTATGTGGCTCCTCCGCTCTGGTCAGCACAAATCAATTCAGCTTTGTATAGGCAACAGTCAGTGCGGAAATAATCTGCGATTAAATAAAAGGAATAAGGGCTTAAATAAACATACATATGTACATATATTCATCTAAAAATAGCAAATACACATTGTAGTAACCGGTATTGTAATGAGATACCTGTCTATCGAGTGAACGTTATGAGGAAAAATATTCTATATATATGTATGTACATATCTTATAAAAAATTATAATTGAAATGTAATTAATTTTGACACACTCGTATTTTTATGCAGTTATTTCTCTCCACATTTTCTCCAATGAGTCACTGAGTTCATAACAGATTCCGCCGAGTTTTTACTTGTTGTGGCAATGAAATGCTTACTTATTATTTACTTTTGCCATGAATATACCTAAGTGAAGTACAAATAAAATGTGATTTCATCTGGTACGTGATTCATTGATAAATATTTGTTTAATAAAACTAAAACGCTCACAACGTTAAGTGTCTAATAGAATAAACATCATTAAACAATTAGGAGTTGTTTAAAGCTCGTCTTTTATAGTTATTTAAACGTTGAGCCTAAATGAATAGCATATTAGCCAAGTATGCCGAAAAAATTTGTTATTCAATCACAAAACATTCTAATTTTTTAAATGTTTTCTAATTTTTAAAATCAAATAGAGCTTTAGATTAGATCTCTTGGTATTCGACCGGATTAACCGAATAGGGCATTATTCAAATAATAATATTCGTCGTAAGTCGTCGACTATTCGATTAGCCGCTCATTTTCGATTATCCGAATAACCATTCGTTGTCGACTATTCGAATTGTAAGCGTTCAGTTAATTAAAAAAAAAATTATAATAATAAAAAACAAAAAAATAAAAATAAAAGGCGGCTTGGATTTCAAACAATTTTCATTTATTAAAATACTCGCAGCAGAGCATCTATTAGAATAGTGGCAGTAGAACGACTATTCGAATAGTAATAATCTGTTTTCACTTTATTTACGATCCCTACTTTAGAGCCTTTAATTGGACGATTTATAGTTATTCTGAACTTAAATGTTGTATTTTTAATAATTTGTACAGTTTTGAGGTTGCACTATGTTTTAGTGGCACATTCTTGACCTTCTTGGAATTACTTGGTACAAACGACGTTTCGCACTAAATTTGATAAATCTTAACTGATTTTTTTTTTTTTAACAAGAAAACCACGCTGTGCCTATTTATGCAATTTACCTCCCACAACTAATACTGTGAAAATATGTCTGTGACGAATACAATAAAATAACTTTAATTTATTTGTAAATAGTTCGTGAAATTTTAAAATCATCCTGTTTATGGAAAACTCGTCCAATGAAGAATAATGGTAAAATCAAAGCAAAATTTTTGTTTTTACCATTAATAATTCTAACTTTCACGGAACTTTGATTTTTCTAAAGCTCTTCAAAAATCGTAAATACCTAGTTGACCTCTACAACAAGACGAGTGTAGAAAAGCGCAGCATCTGGGTAAGGTAAACGAACGTGGCTGCGACAAGTGAAATCTCAAAAAGTAATAGAAAAAAACAAGTTTCGCTTTTCTTTACGTTTAGCGCTATTCCACTGCAGCAGCGCGGCCATTACCACTGCTGGACCAGCCTTGCCAGGTTGGTTTATTGGATTTCACCTAAACCAAGCAAGCAGGACGGACAGTACATTTATACGCAACTATGTTTTATTAAGAAATTGATGGCAATTAAAGATGTTGACCGCAATGTAATGCTCGACACGATAATGACCATCATGGCAATAATGATGGAGCCACTATTCATAATCATATGGGTACGGGCTAACGTAACCAACGGCGAGGAAATGGAAATGCACGTGTTTGCCGCTTGAATATTTAAACTCGCTTGAATGGGTACGAGCGAGTTTATATATTTGGCTATTACTTGGCCACTTTTACATGCTTGAATGATGATGGCATAAATAAAAACCAATTATGTGCATTGTCGGAAGTACATGTACGGCGGTGACGTTGCATTGACATAATCGTCAAACCACAAAGTTGAAATAACGAATTTCCCCCACATAGTTGTTGATCATTTCAGCATTGTTGTTTTGTCTATTATTTACTCTTTGCACATTTGCGTCAGTGAAATCGGTAAATAGCATCATTGCAATTGCCAACGTGGCCACAGAAAAGTTTAAGTTGTTTTTATGTAAACGTTTTTCAAACAAACGTACGTATATATGTACACATGTACGTGGTTAGTATAGGTGTGAATTGCTAGTAAAATGCAATAATTTTATGAAAATTATATACAAAAGGTGCAAAGCGTTCAAATAAGTCATTAAAAAGTAGACATCTCATTTCAAATATGTGTGTACTTATGCATATAAATATGTATGTATGTGTGTGTGAATTTATATAATACATAAAGTTTTTAAGCTTGGCCAACAGGTAAATGCATGCAGAGCTCAAAGGTAAATAACTCCCACATGCCGTTAAAATTTAAATAAACAAATGTATGTACATAAATACATATGCATGTATATGAACAGTATGTAGGTAGCAACAAGCGATTTTAAATACATACTCGCATTTGTGTACATATGCATGTATGTATATGAAAAATATGGCGAAACGATTTTGGCTCAATTTAATTTTACCCAAAAACTTTTTGCCCCTTTGCATCATGGTGCATCTGTTTTGCCTTTGAATATACAATTTTGCACAGACGCACTCACACACTTGCAAACGTTCATAATTTGCATTAAGCGTCTCGCACGAGTCGCAACATACATTTTTAAAGCAACAAATTTCACCTTGAACTTGATTTCATTTGTACACATTTTTTGAGGGCATTTCAGATAAACTGGCCATTATTGCACGTTTTCGCAAGTTTTATTGCGAACTCTGGCAATAATGAGCTTTATAATAAGACTGTTTGTTGTGTGCGGTTTTGACATTATTGTCTATTATATATTTTTGTAAGGCATAATTAAGGCTTTTCTTAAAAATTAATTATTGGTCGGGTGTTAAATGACAGTACTATAATTCCATACATACATTTGTATACAAATGAATAAAAGTACCGCCTGAGGCGTATTGGCGAGAAAATGAGTGTGAAGACCATTTAACGCTAGAAAGCTGGAATTTATCTGCTTTTTTTATAGAAAGAAATGTGCCTTTAGCTGTTCTCTTTAATAAAAAAATAAAATGAGTAATATACTTGTTTGCTTGCGCAAAATATGTGGTGCGAAATATCGACAGACGCGCTTCCGTTTTAATTAAAGAAATGAAACACACAAAATAAAGAAAAAACACTTTGACAAACATATTTTCGTTAAAATTCTAAGAGCAAATAAGAAGTAAAAACGAAAAATATAAAAAACGGCTTAATGTGCTGCCTAGCATAATGTAAATATACATGCCTATGTATGTACTTATGACTTTTACTTATCTGAAAGAGAAACGGATATGACGTATTTGCCCCCATGGCTAATAAAGTGGCAAGCGAAAAAAAGTTCATTAAATAAACACCGAATAATTATATGAGCCTAATACTCGTATATTGCGTTACACAAATATTTACTTCTATGGGTTGAGGATGACTTTGACTGCGGTCTCCATAAAAAACCTACCCCGCCGATTGGGGTAGAATGCTTTTAATTGAAAAAATATGTAAAAAGTGGATGTAAGATCTATTTTTATTGGTTACTGTCATAATTCAGTTGTAGCACAACAAATCTTATATTATAGTAGAGCACATATGTATGTCCCCAAAAGCTGTCTCTATGATTACTCATAAAAATACTTAAAGCAAACGAAATACTTCAAATGCCATTGAATGCATTGTTTTAAAAGTTTTAATATAAAAATATACATAATACATACTTACTTAACAATGAACATATAGTAAATATGTATGTATGTGCACTTTAACAGAGAGCATAAAACTCGCTTTCAAGGCAATCAATTGCACGATTAAATCAAAATTTTACATAACAATCCGTCTGCGAAGCACAATGAATGTTAAGAAGCTTGGGGAAGATGTTAGCTGGTGAATGGAAGAGTTAAAAGCGCAAACAATTAAACAAAGTCAACCGCACGTAAGTGTGTCAAGTTCAAAAAGCTACAAGAGCTCTGTCCCAACTTTCGTATATAGTAAAAGCAATAAGAACATATAAAAGTATTTTTGACGATTACACAAATTTAAAGCTTTATTAAATTAAATGAAAACCGAATTGCAAATGGCGAAAACTTCACTACCGAAACTAACAAGCGCTATTGTGATGATCTCATTACGAGTGGTCACTGTGCTACCTATAAATGTCAAGATATGGAGAAAAAACTTCGGCGAGATGGAGCTGCTCCGTCCCCTCGTCTATTAATGAATGTCGCTGTCAAGTTTTTTTGGCATACATATGTATGTGCTGTTCAATGTCGCCACAACGCAAGTGCAAATAAGCCAAAACATCGAAGCGAGCAAAGACGAGTCCAAATGGATACTTCAAAATTAAAAATGTGAATGTGGAATAAACATGAAAAGAAAAGTACTCTCTCCAAAAACACGAAAAACCATTCAAAAAACTGAATTAAGCGTGTTAAGTGCATAATCATACAAAATCATATAATGACAATGCTGAGCACGCGATGACATCATAACTACCGAGAGCCAAAGAGAGTGACAAAAATCATCAAAATTGTTAACCAGCTAGCGATAGAACGATCGCTTAGAGCGACGATTGCGGAAATAAAAGAAAAACAAATTTAAAATGAAAGCAAAAACAAAATAAACCACGAAATATGCACGCTCAAATGTTGAATTGCTTCGAGTGCTCCCATATACATGTGTCTGTGGGAGAACACACAACACACACCGATTGTTTTCAATAAAAGTTGGGCGTTAAATTTGAATTTGCAAGAAAGCTGGAAAACAAAATCAAATAATGAAACGTTGACGTTGAGGGTCGGCAATCATAACTTCATTATATTTTAATTGAGTGTTCCCAACAATTAATATACCAAAAATTATGATAAACTGCTAATAGTAAATATCGAATATAGTTCCGTTATTAG